CCCTTTGGCCTATGCAATGCTCCGGCAATATTCCAACGTACCGTCAACCAAGTTTTGGGCAATTTACGCTACGGAAATATTGTTGCGTACATGGATGATATTTTAATACCTTCTGCAGACTTTGAATCACGGCTTCAGTCTTTAAGACAAGTTTTCGACGCCTTGAAATCACCTAACTTGACACTGAGGCTTTCTAAATGTCACTTCTTTATAAAAAAGATTGTGTACCTTGGGCATGAAATATGTCGTGATGAAGTCCAACCAGGAATTAGGAAAATAGAGGCCATTGAATATTATTCAGAGCTCACAGATGTACATAAAGTAAGGCAGTTCTTAGGTTCAACTGGGTATTTTAGAAAATATATCAAGGTCTTTGCCGCCATAGCAAAACCGTTAACGTTCTTAACGAACAAGGATGTAAGATTTTGTTGGAAATAAGATCAACGTACATCATTTGAGACCTTTGAAGAGAAACTCATATAATCCAGACCTCTTCTCGCAATTTACGATCCTAAGCTCAGAACAGAAATACATACGGACGCCTCGAAGTGGGGTATTGGAGGAATTCTGTTACAAGAACACGAAGGCAAACTGAAACCAGTTATGTATTATTCGAGACAGACCGTTGAAACATTTTAGAGTGTATTTAATAGGAATCGTATTTAAAATTGTCACTGATTGCAACGCTGTTCGTACAACTTTTTGTAGGAGGGATTTAGTTCCATGAATAGAAAGATGGTGGTTGGCAATCCAGGAGTATACCTTCGATATAGAGTATCGCCCTGGTACCAAAATGACCCACGCAGACGCTCTGAGTCGAAATTCATTAGTAGAGAATTGTCAGCTGCCTAACACAGTAAGAGTCAACGAAGTCAACATCAAGAACGTCGATTGGGTGTTACACGCTCAGCTTGGAGATGAAATATGTAAATATTTTATAGAAGTTCTAACCAAGAAACCAGCAGACCGGGAAGAAAAACGGATACATGAGGAGTATTGTCTAGAAAAAGGTCGGTTATATAGAAAATTATCTGACTGAAAAGATGGGTAGTGCCTGAATCTGTACGACGACAAGTAGTATTACATTTTCACGATGGCATTGGACACCTATTATCAGAAAGGACTCTATCAGCTATTTCTAAGTTATGTATCGGTTTTCTGAAATACGACAATATTTTGAAAAGTTCATTGAAGCTTGTCTACTCTGCATGTACAGGGTGTTTCCTTATATTTTGACCCCTACCTACAGCTTTAGCTATACGAGGTGGAAAAAAAAAATTAAATATAGAAGTTGTAGGGTTTTATGTCTATTGTCTTTTGCAAATGTGAAAATGGGCAAATGACAGGTGCCAACTGTCACAACACACTGTATATTTTCGGCTAGAATGATAGCTTTTTTTTCTTCTGATTCCAAATATACCATATATGTTGATATTTGGTTCAGTTGTTTTTATGCTATTTGATTTTAAAATTGCATTGAGCAAGCCTCATCAGGTCTGTTTCTGCAGATCACAAATCAGTCAGAGTCAATGTCATTGGTTGAAACTAGTTTTCTGACTGTTTTCAACCAATGAAATTCGCTCTGACTGGTTTGTGATTTCTGCAGAAACAGATCTATCATTGATATAAGAAACATTTTTAAACTTGAATAGCGTTAAAAGAGCTGAATCAAATATCCACATATATGGTATATTTAGAATCAGAAGAAAAAAAGCTATCATTCTAGCCAAATATATACAGGGTGTTCTAATTGAAAAATGCAATTGTTTGTCATTATGACAATTATCACCTGTCATTCGCCCGTTTTGACATTTGAAAAAGATAATAGATATTGTCACAACTACCCGCTTTACGGGGGTGACATGGGGGGTTTGTAGCTTTGGGGGTAGATGGAGAGAAACTCGCTCAGGTTATATAAAAATATATGCTATATATTTTCCCAAATATAACCTTACATATATGCTAATCCTATAAGGTACATGACCCTTCGTACACTGGGGTCCTTATAGGGGGCCACACGTCAATTCTGCTTGGGGGACTGTAGATAAGTTTATCGTCACCCTTATGCCTTGTCCAGAGGGGCGTTCCCAACGAGAGGTAATTGCACTGGACAACGATAAGGCTGAAGATACCCAGAGGGGCGTTCCCAACGAGAGGTACTTGCACTGGGGAGACTTAATTCCAGAGGGGCTTTTCCAACGAGAGGTACTTGCACTGGTTTAAGTCTACCTTTGCTGCGGCTTGCAGCGCAATTTATATTAATTTATTGCTGAATTGCAATAAATATTCGATCGAATCGGCAATTAAATTAATAAGGTTGAATACCGGGTCCTCCTTTCCCAAGCAGCTAGTTGACATATGCCCCCCCTCCATGAAGCATTGGACCCCAATGCTTGGAAGAGACATTTACAACAAATTATATACAAATACCATAATAGTGTCAAAAAATACAATAATATCCTTATCCTAAAAATATCCCTTCTTTACAATAATAGCCTAATTATAAAATATCCCTGATGCTTAACAATTATATAATCCAAATATCGCGTAGGTATAGAGAAAAAAATTAAAAATCAAAATTAACAAAAGTTTTTTATGGTGGGATGGGTGAGGGTGCATTATTATTCAGGTTACTACAAAAAAAAAATATCTTGCAACTAAGAAATTTCATCAACTTCACCGTTTCAGCCATGGGTTTTTCCTCGGGTTTTTCTCTTTTGGTCCGGTCCTGTTTTCTGTGTTGTGGGTCTGTTCTGGTTCCAAATACTTCTTGGTGGGTCATCTAGATCGTGGGGTGTTAACGGTCCCACGGTCTAAGTGTCGCTTCCTGGTTTGTTATGCTTTTTTCTTGTTCATTGTGCTGTATTCTGTCTTTCAAGTGGATTGGTTCTGGCTCCAAGTACTTCCTAGCGATTTGGTCAGCTGGGGTCGTGGGTTTGCGCGGTCCCACTGACCATTGGGGAGCTATCTATGTCAAAACAAGGAAAAAAATCAGTAATTTTTCTATTCACAAGAGAATCAATGAAGAAGAAGCCAAATCCAAGAAATATGTATAAATGTCTCACAGCACTGAGGAACAATATCTCAAAAAATAAATCCATCAAACCCTCGATAAGCGCTTATTATTACGGTACCTAACGAAGAAGAGCTTAACTCAACAGACGTTGTTTGTTGTGTGAATGATTAATGTATTCCCAGTGAGGATTTTGAATTCAAAATAAATGTTAATGCATTAACAATGAATAACAATTTTATTATCCTTCAGGTTTTCTATGCAGTACCTAATCAGTCTTCACTTTGCAGGGTTCTGAGTCCACGGGTTCGCAGGCTTAATAGCGTGGCCGACTGTAAACCTCCACATCACCAGAGATGTTAACAGTCCCTAGCAAGAAAAAACACCAAAAGAAACGGATGAATCACAGGCGGTGATGCGCTCGATTATGAAATACCTATGAATATAATTTAGTGAGAATAAAGCATTTCTTGAAGAAATAATTAAATAACGTATAACATTGAAGTGTGAAAATTTAGAAACACACCTAAAAAAAACTAACTAGCTAAAGGTAATTGATAATTCTTAAAAAGAAATAAATAGGGCATACAACTCAACCAAATCTTGACATAGGTAGAACCAATAATACAACCAAGTAATTTCCAAATAAATTAGTTTATATTTCCACGGTGATATTAGATTCACGGTGAGGAGAATAAAAATCAGTTGAGCAGTAAAATTCAAAAATATAAAATTGCTAGTTGTTGGTAAAACACTTAATAAAATCAGCGGATGGAGGTTTAACCCTCAATTGGATCCACTCGACTCATAATAGTAGTTTTCCTAATCAGTGCGCAAAGTTATGTTTGCTTGTACTTTTCTAATATTTTTCTAAATTTTCCATGTGTTTTCCAGATCAAAATATTGGTTTTCTGGATTTGTGGCTTATCCATTTATAATATTTTTGATTTAGGTTCCATTGCAGCTGAAAAGGCTTCTAATAGCCTCTAGTACTGAGACTTGTTTCTTTGATTTTCTTTATTGAAACTTGTGAGTTTCATCTGAACAAACTTCAGAGATCACTTTAATTTGTTTAATGGTGTATGACCGTATTTGCCAACTCTTGAATACATAATTTTATTTGAATTTTGGGATAGGTACTTTTCATTGCCTTTATTTTGAGTATCGGTATTACCTGATATTGTTGACATGATTTGAAACCGAACAAACAATAATTTATTTTTTCTTTATAAAGCAAATTTACAATTCAGAATCTCCGTCGTCGTTGCCGAAACAAAAAGAAACCTCTTTTTTATTCTGGCTCATTTTCAAGCCGTATTTTCATTCCTGTTTTAACTCTCAGACAAATTACTTTAGCTAGGATTAAGTTCTTTTTCCAACGTCTCAGTTATAAATTACTGTTAAGGAAGGCAATAATTATTAGATGTTGGGGAGTGGTATTAAAATGCCTGTTGAAGAAAAGGAAATTGTCAAACATTTTTCTAAAGAATAACAATAATTGCAATTTTATATTAAACACTTTTAGATCTAGATTGTTTTTCATAATTAACCTAGAAACGATAATCCGTAAGTTTGGATATTAAATATATGATGAGGGATGCATCATACCCTTTTCACTTTTAGATAATATCCTGCCTGGTAACTAAAATATTCAAGATAAACTTCCACCTAATTATTTAGGAAAATTTCCAAGCCATAATGACACCTATCGAACCAACAAGTTTTGCCGAAGCATTTCCTCTGTTAAATAGCTTAAAACCAAATTAGCGGAAAACTAATTTAACTTTAAAATTATCCGAAATTATATTTTTTTGCTCTATTGAATCAGAATTTGTCGTAGTGGAGACTTTGCGGGATGAGCTTGATAAGATTTTGAATTTAAAAATCTCCAATTAAAATAGGAAAAATTATTTTGATAAACTAGGGTCAATGATAATATGGAATAATCGAATCACGTGAACGTCGTCGCAGTCTGGTGTAATAATTTATGTAGGTGACTGATTTGAAATGCTAGTGTCAAGGCGACGTTTGTGCTATTTAGCGTTTTTGAGTGCCTATCATCAGGACAATGGTGCTGGTTAGGAAAATCATCAATACCAATAATGCCCCCAGACCTATTGCACCATACAAGTAAGAACTTTGTATTTATTGTAAATCAGAAATTATTTTATTAAAAATTTGGGATTGTTTTTCCATAAAAATACTGTATAATTTTTGGAGTTTTTATCAAAATTCAAACGTTGACATTTTTCTAAAAGATTTCAGTCCAATTTTTGCACAAAACTATGTAAGTATTCTAATTTACTTCAATAAATTCAATATGTTTTTTGTATTTTTAGTCAAGCTGTTCTCGTAGATTCCACCCTCTACGTATCAGGATGTATAGGTTTAGACAAAGACACGATGAAAATGGTCGATGGGGATGTTTCAGCAGAAGCCAGACAAGCCCTGAGAAATTTGGGACAAATTTTACACGCCGCTGGAACTACATACGATAAAGTCGTCAAAGCTACAATTTTTATGAGCGATATGAACGATTTTGCAGCCATTAACGAAGTTTACAAAGAATGTAAGCAAATTTGTCTACAAACAAAAAATAAGTTTTAACGCGAGGGGTGAAAGAAAAAACAAATTTCGGGTAGCGTCACGCTTCTTTAAAAAGCTATTACCACTTTGTCGTTTCCTGAAAAAAAAGTTTCGGCAGCTTAAAAATTAGTTTTTGAAGACGAGACGCCATTCATCACTTTCATTTAGGTTTAAATAACACCCTAATATAGAATGTTCCAAAAAATAGGTTCAAACTTTGGGCACATTTTAATATGTAATTTGTTCCAGTTTTCGTAAGAGATTATCCGGCCAGATCCGCAGTGCAAGTAGCAAAATTACCCTTAAATGCAAAAATAGAAATCGATGTAATAGCGACCGTTGGAACAATTAAAACTATTTGTTGTAAACATTAGTATTTACAATATCTATTATTTATTTTATAAGTTTATAAATATTTTTTATACTTTTTTTTTTCGTTAAATTATTTCAACTAATTTTTTTTGCAGTTTTTGTTAAAGATTACCCTGCCAGGTCTGCCATCCAGGTTGCCAAATTACCGGCAAATGCCCGAGTGGAAATTGAAGCTATTGCTGCCATAGGAGAACTAAATACTGTAGAATTTAAGCTCTAAATAATTGTTTTTGAGATTCTTAAATAAATTTATCTAGTCAGCGAGTGTAGAAGGAATTTTTCTGATTTTAAAAATATACATTTTTACACATGAAAGGAAATATGTATTAGAATACATTTAAGAAATCAAAAGATTGTATTGAAAATTCCTACTTTTATAACAAGCAATACGCCTCTACCTCCATTTGCAATATGTCTGCCGTGTTATATGCAGCCTTCGACACTGGCAAACAATGATCTTTTATTTACGTAGTTCTGGGGCTGGAGAGAGGAGATCCTATTTCGAAAGAGGAAATGAAAATACCTGCACGGTTTGCATCTCTATTTCCAGAGTCGAGGTGTTGTTTGCAGGGCTTTATACACCCTTTGTCATCCTTTCTTTTTAATTTTTTTTTTGTTAAATAATGCGCTGTCCAAATTCACTCTAAATGAAACTAATCTTTAGGCGATTATGATTCACTATGCTTTTTAAATCTAAAGCAATTTTTTGCTTTTGCATTTTTGGGGGTGTTTAAGGTCTGTTTACAAAGGGCGCCATTAGATTCTATTTAAAAGTGAAGTTAATTTTGGTTGCAAGATCTTACTCACATATTGATTTGATTTATTGATCCTTTCAAGCGAAAACTGAACTTTTGTTCCATCATAAAAACTAGGGTGACCATACGTACAGCATTTCGCTGTTTTGTACAGCATTTTCAAAGTCTGTCCAGCATTTGATTTTGTACAGCAAACGTACAGCGATTCCGACATTTGCGATATACGACCATGACTCCTGTGGGAACAAACCTTTACGCCATCATCTCCCAGAGTATTCTTTTTAATGCTAACTACCTTTTTTATCTCTCTATTCCACGCTGCTAAGAAGAAGACACAGCATAATAGGTCTGTTTCTGCAGCAATCACAAACCAGTCAGCACGAATTTCATTGGTCGGAAATAGTCAGAAAGTCAGAAACAGTCAGAAAACCAATTTCAACCCAAGGCTTCTAAAGTTAATAGGTTGTCTGGTAATGGTTAACAGATGACGTCATCAGGAAGATCTAGGGCCATATTCTCCGTAGTTCATAAAGCCTTGCTTACCTACCTCTTTCAAACAACCTTGGTTTCAACCATTAAGGATTTCAACCAATAAAATTCACTCTGACTGGTTTGTGATTTCTGTGCGAACAGACCTATTATGTTATGTATTTAATTTTTATTTTTTTTTTGTTAAGGGCCAAATTATGGACCAACTGGTAAGTGTCTGGTTGTTACCTAGCAGTTACTTTCTATTATTTAGAGCATAGAAAGTACCTGCTAGGTAACAACCAGACGTTTACAGTCAGTCCATAATTTGGCCCTAAGTGGTACTAAAATGGGCTATAAAGTCGAAAAGTCGAAAAAACTTGCATTTAGAGCTCTCCTCTCTCCACTCACCTGTCCCAAAATTTAAGATGTGTACAGCATTCATACAAAAAAAATATGGTCACCCTAATAAAAACCATAATATGTAATTGACATTCAATTAACCTACCAGAGCTTGCCTAGTTAGCAAAAACCCATCAGGTTTTTGGGTTTTTGCGGGTTATTTATGATAGCTTTTGTGTTTTTGTAGGATTTTTGTGTTTACTTAACAACATAAAATTGTATATTTTTTTCAATAGTTTTGCACCTGAGAATCTTCAATATTGAATTTATCGAACATTGTACTACATATATGAACAAATTATATTTATCTCACTATTAGCAAATAGATATATTTCTGTCTTTCTCTAACTTTTGATTCTGAAATCATTATTTTTGGCTTGATGACCTAATTAATTAGTGGTTTTGTGTTTTCAACATAACTCTAATTTAAATTATTGTGATTTGTAAACAATTAAAATAATTCTAGTGGATTTTTATTTATTCTCTTTTACTCTTTTATTCCACGTGGTTTTTCATTGTGAAGTGAATATGTTCTTTTGGGTGTAGTTTTCTGATTGGTTGATCTGGTTAATACGCAGTTAGGTATAAAAAAAAAGTCGCGTGCAGCACAGTACACGTGATAGAAGTGAATACTTATTTATCGATATCTTTCCCTCCTATTCATCATATGCTTCATCTCACTTGCGAGACGAAAATTTTATAAATCGTGTCGTGACGCGACCTTGAAAAATCACTCTCATGCGGCTAAAGAAGTATTCACTTCAATAATTCTTTAAAATCTTTACCTATTTTACAAATGTAACTCGAATTCCTACCGGGAATCAGAAAAACATGTTTCGGGGCCCCCAAAAATTACTCCAGAAGGCCCCCAGAATCAGAAAATCTTTCAACAATAAAGTGAGGTTATGTTGACTCTGCTGATTGAATGATGCTGGACACATGAAAAAAGATAACTTTTAGAGGAAATTTCTAAATAATTTAAATAAATTTAATTAAATTCTCTTTTTCGAACCATTTTTATAAATAAACAACGAATTTTTATTGTTAAAATTACAAATTATTTGGTTTTAGTTAGGTGGCGCTACAGTGGCTAAATAAACCTTTACATACAATGGCGACAATAGAGGTCCTGCCGCCATTTTGTTCCCAACCTCTTGTTACTTTCAAATATGAATTTATAGGATTTGAATGGACATCTTTCATAAAAAATTGAAATCGACGTATTTGATGACTATTATTAGGTCCATCAAATACGTTGTTTTCCATCTTTTATGATGGATGTTCACCTAAATCCCATATATTCATTTTTGACATAAGCAATAGGTGGGAACAAGATGGCGGCGTTTTCAATATAAATATATGGGATTTTAGAACCAATCAAAAATAAGACAACAATTGTCGCCACTGTGGGTAATAGAGTCACTGTAGGTGGCGCCATCTATTGACAAGTAGCAATACTAAAAATGTGTCGATTATTTGGGTGCATTCAACGGACGTACCTTTAATTTTTAGGTAAATTTCTTATTAAAATATTTATCGATTGCATTCACCATCTCTTTCTCTCTCTCTCCCTCATATTCATCATACGCTTCATCTCACTTTCGAGACGAAAATTTTATAAATCGTGTCGTGACGCGACCTTGAAAAATCACTCTCATGCGGCCAAAGAAGTATTCACTTCAAAAACACAAGATTGGTTTCCTATAGGGCTTGGTTTCTAAAACGGTCTCTTCTCCTGGCAGTGCTCTGGCAGGCAAGTCAAATTTGATTTTTAATGACTTTTCCTCCAAGATTCTAGATCTTCCCTGAATAATTTCTAATTTACTTTACCATCAGTGGATACTATCATATCACTGTTAAGTTTTTACCTGATAAATCTTATCTTATCTATTTTTGAAATATAAATATTATATTTTAATTTTTTATCTAATTGTGGGCCTCCATTTTGTGTGAGTGCCGATTGATTGTTCAACGTTTTTCTGAGGTAAGTCAATTCAGACTTTTGGGCTAATATATAGGTACTGCTGCTCTGGTTTTCAGAATCAATTGTTAGTCCGGGAATATTGGACCATTTGCTCTAAATAGAGTCGGTGAAAACCAAATTTGTGTGTCCATCCCTATCAACTCTTTATTGAATCGAGGCAGAGGTCTATACAGTCATTTTTTGTTTGACTCCGTCAATTATTACGTTTTCGAGGAGAAGAGTGTTGAAAAAGGGTGTTATTTTCTAAAATGGAAATCCAGACAAGTAAAAAAAAAAATCATCAAAAAAGTTTTATAGTATTTTTAATACCTATTTAGAAGTACCAGTTGTTCTAGTGACAAAACGTCTGTCGCTTCTTGACACACAAATAAAATTAGGTTAGGAATTTCCTATTTGTACATGAAATTGACGTATTAGTAATCGACGTTCGTTTTTGTTGGTAATCTTTAGTTTCATCTGATTCGTGATTGATAAATAAGGATGGGGTTATTCTAAATGGGTATTACAAATACTATAATTAAAACATCTCAAGAATTTTGACATAATCTGGATTTGATTGATTTCACCCTCAGGTTTATCTTGTAGTACCTATAGTAGCTACCTTGGCTTAAAAGTAAAATTTTGTCTATTTGGGGGAGAATCTAGAGATTTAATTTCTTAATTTTTTTATCTGATTCAATTTAATTTTTCCTACATTTGTTTTTAATCTTGCCTGTTATTGCTACTGCCGGAAAAGCAGCACTCTGCTCAACTTGTAAAGAGCATTTTAATTTAATCTTGCTGTTATTATCTATTTTTATGATAATTTTTCAATTATTTTTTTATTTTATTTTATTTATTTTTTTTCAATTTGCAATAGTTGCTCATACCTAATTCTGTTGGAAGGGAGTGTCTACGCAACAATGGTTTTATAATAAACTAATTTCATATATATATTTTTTTTCCTTTGCAAGACACTCACTTTTTGACAAAATTCAGGGATTTAATATTCCAAATCTTGGTGAACCTGATACTGCCTTATTCTTTTCTGGGTACCTACTCGACATAAGGATCACTGACGAAGAGCTCCAGTTCCCGAAAGTGAAACCCCAAACATCCATTGAAGAGCTCCGGATTGAAAAAGTACATGTGTCAGATTCACCGGAACAACTGTCAAATTCTAAAGAAAAGTAACATTGTTACTTGTTACTTACATTGTGAACAAATATTAAATAAAATTATTGTTTGTTGGATTTTGAGTGGTTTCATTTGCACATAAGGGAGCTACACGTTATCTTAAATTTTTGAATTCCACGACCCTTTAGGTTCTCTTATCTTAAAGTTTAAATAACGAGTTTTATTTGTAACAAATTGGCGCCCAACGTGGGGCTCATTAATTTTCATCCGATTTAAACGCAATTATGCTTTAATTATTTTCAATCTACAAACTTATCAATTAAGGTTTCAATTTGGTTCCAATAGTTTTACACCTGAGAAGTTTTGAAATTAAAATAATCCAACATTGAAAATTTTCCAAAAATGACAACGAGACAGTTTTTGTCTCACAAGTCCTTCAATTTTCATCCGATTTCAACGAAATTAAGCTCTAATTAAAGCCAATTAGGTTCTCTACAAACCGTTTAATTAGGATTATAATTTTGTTTCAACGATTTTACAGCAAGGAAGCTCCAAAATTGAAATTATCGGACATTGAATATTTTCCAAAAATGACACTGGGGCAGTTTTTGTCTCACAGCTCCGTTAATTTCC